CTCACAATTTAACCAACTTAAGGCGTTAAGGAAGGGACAACACAACCATGAACACTTGGAAGTACCAAATACAAGACAGGAATTTTAAGAGTTGCTTGAGAGGAAACGTAAAAAAAGTACATTACGTTGAACCACTGAAACGACATAGGTATTAATAAATTTCAATTACGTTAATGTAATTTTAAAAATGCAGAAGGTGCCTTAGTACTTCCCTTCAACTTAGTATGTGCCTCTATGCAGAGGTGTAGGCGATCCAATATTCCTGTGAAACTAGAAGATTTGGCTAGAGTTCTGGGAGCAACTGAGTGCCCTACATATTAGTTTGGTTATACAGTGTCGCATAAAAGCTTGGCATCAGGGATTAAACATGATTTAACAATTTTTGCTGACATTACCCAAATTGTCGGACCTACCTTTCATCACATATTCGCTTACTGGGTGCAATAATGGCACATATTAAAAAATAGCTATTTTTAGATAATATAAATATGTTTGTTTTAAAAATAGAATAATAAAAATCAATATGTGATTATAAGGACATATTACTATAAATTTTGTAATAAGTAAGATAATTGATCTGAGTTATCTCAATATTTCGGTTTTTATTTTCCTAAATCACTGTTTTTGTCGGAACTGTTATTTTGTGGTTTTGTCACTAATGTACCCAGTGAATGATATGGGCATAAAATTTTGATTTTCTCAGGGATTAACAAGTATTTTATATTCTTTCGGGAGGTAGCCACTACATTTGTCAACGTCAATAGAAGACACCAATAAACGTTCAATAACAAATATATATTTCAAAATGGCATTTTTTTCAAGTCCCAAATAAATTGACGTTTATTAGAAAAATTACTGGTAACTCCAAGTAAGGTGTATAACTGTATAGGTTACCTTTGTCATAAATATACAAAATGTTATTCTTACAGGCTTTTACTTGGACCACTGTGGATTTCGCATCAAATAAAAAGAAATGTGAATGGAAGAAAAGATGAACAATCAATATAAATATTTTCTGCGACACCAATTCAGCAAAAGCTTTGATGGAACGATCATTAGCAGACATTTCACCGAGCAGTTTGCTACACCGTCCTGGGGCTCTGAGCCTACGAGCTAAAGTACGTTTGTATGTTTATGAGAAATGTATGTATGCTGTTTGCAAAATATGCTAGGGATAGGGGCCCATACATGTGTATTACCCCAAAGGTGCACTCGCAACTGGCTGAGACAAGTTGCACAGTGAATCCAGTCAGCTTATAATCAGTTTCATTTCCATCATCAGTTGTAAAACCGGTGCATTTTGCTAAAAAAAGAATTTTCACTTATCTATAACTTGTCATTTCTATGGCAAAGTCTAAAAAATGTCAAACGAGTGACCCTGAAAAACTTGAATTCAGTCCAGTTCAATCAGTTTCAGTAAACCTCTGAAGAAGCCAACAGGATGATTGGTGAAATATCAATACGTTTGATTTATAAACAACCGATGCAGGAAGAATCCAGAAAATTTGTAAATAGTATTACAATAGCCTGTGGAAATTTCTTTGAAAAATTCTATATAGAATGGTTCATAATTAATGCAGTACAGTGTAAGTAAGTCAATTTTAGATTCCAGATGAAAAAGAGCCAAAAATAATTTAGTAAGGTGCTTATTTAAAACATAAATTTATCAATGTCATTCATAAAATATAGATAAATTTTATCTGGTACTAGCCGAAGCGAGATACATTGAACATTGGAGATGGTAGCAAATTTTCGACAAGCCCGAACGGTGTTCGGGTTCGCCTGGTGGATGGTTTGTAACAGCGGATCTGCCAACAGCTGAGACGTGACGTATCGTGATCGAGTGACAGAATATTTAGGTTAGAATCAGCGATTTTTATAGGGATATCAAATGTGAAACTTATTTTAAATTATTTATTTTACTAATTTTAAGTTTTTAAGTTAATATTTTATTACCTTTTTAAACAGTAACTCAGTTTATTGTGGGTAGTAATTTCATAGGGTAGGTAGGTTAAAATGCAGAACAGGAACAGAACCCTTGAACAAATAGTTTTTCTAGTTTTTATAGTAGCTCACAAAAAAGGCATTTTGCATGTTCAGTGCAAAAACGTCGTATTTTATAACATTATTCAACCCTTTATATATATATATAAATATATGAATGTATATTCAAGTTATTGCAAAAAGATATCTGAGATGCACAGAAACAAAATATCAAGCATCAGGAAAGGTTGAAGAGAATAGTGTATTCATCTTATGGGACAATATAATCACGAACACTGGAAGGATCAAATATTAGACAGGAGTTGCCACCATGTGTAAGGGAGAAAGGAGACTGAAAAAATATATGCAGTAAAAATATTACATTACGCTGTACGACTTGAACTATATAAGTATTAATAGGTTTAAATTATTTTAATGTAATACTTTTTACAAAGCTTCTGGATTCCTCCTACATCGGTTTTTGCTGAGTCGAAATTGCTGACATTTCGCCAATCATCCTGTTGGCTTCTTCAGAGCTTGACTGAAACTGTCAAGTTTCAATCAAGCAATTTCGACTCAGCAAAAACCGACGCAGGAGGAATCCAGAAGCATTGTAAAAAGTATTACAGTAGCCTGTGGAAGTTTCTTTGAAAACTTATGTTAATGTAATTTTAGAAATGCCTTACTTCTTTCAACTCAGTATGTACCTCGATGCAGAGGTGGAGGCCATCGAATGAATATACCTATAGAACTGAAAGACTTGACTAGAGTTCTGGCAGCAAGCAAGTGACCTAGATATTAGTTTGGAGCCTTTTTTCTTGCAAGCCCCTGTATGAAAGAAATCAAATTTGGAAGACAGGGATAATAAACCATAATTGGTGATATTAGGCAAATTTTTGGACCTACAAATATCATCAAATATGAGCATTAATTTTGATTTTTTCTGGGATTAGCAATTATTTTATATTTTTTCGGTACGTAACCTCTACCTTTATATAAGTTAGTAGAAGCTACCAAAAAATGTTAAATAACCTCTACCTTTACCTTTAATCTATTCTATACAGAGTGCTATTTACAAATCTTTTGGATTCTTTTTGCGTCGTTTGTTGATAAATCAAACTTGCTGAAGTGGATGATTGGCCAAACGTCAGCCAGTTTTATTTACAAGCGACGCAGGTCGAAATCAGAAGATTTGTATATAGTATTACAGTAGCCCGTGGAAGTTTCTTTGAAAAATTCTATACAGAGTGGTCAATGGGGTAAGTAAGTTTTACATTTCAGATGGAGAAAAACTCAAAAATATTTTAGTAAGGTGCTTGTTTAAAGTTGTCACTCATAAATTTTTTTAACTTAGCCGGTGGCTGTAATAAATAGGGGGCGATAATGATAAAATATTCAAAAAGATACTCACGGGTTAATAAAAAATATTCTTTTGAACGTGGGTTGCAGTATATTTTATTTGAAACAATAATTGATCATATGCATAGGAATTCATGTGTCCTGTGCGGATTTAGCAACCGATGTACGTCCCATATCTTTCAAACAAGCAAGATTTTGCTAATTCGAATTCGGATTATACCTATCGACTGTCAAATTACAAAGTCTTCCTATTTCGATATAAAAATCACGTCGTTCGAACGAAACAGCTATTTGTCCTTTTCTATTTGACATTCGACCGTCTGCTACATTCAGATCTCTCGCGAAAACAGTCTCACCGAGACTGTTCAAAACGGGACCGAGCGCAGTTCGGGATTTTCCACAATTTGAACATTCGACCATTTAACAAAATAAATAAGACTAAAAGTTCAGATTTTCAGGAAATTATATATTTTCACATGACAATTGTTTCGACAACTTCGACTTTATCAAGTGTATTTTTTACAAACTACCTGATGCTATATATACCGAAAAATGACAATAAAACCTTAATTAATGTTGTTGTGAGAATTTAAGTTTAATAATGGAGAAGTATTTACATCTAATTGATCGTTAAGCAATACATTTGAATGTCTCATTTTGTTAATCTCCATGGCTTCCAATAAATTTAATTTTCTGCTTTTTGTGGCTGTATGTAAAATATCAAAATTGTCGTCAAAAATGTGTTTTCGGTGTTTAAGTGTGTAGCATAATTAGAATCCAGACTATTGTTTTTAAACGCTCTTTTATGTTTGTTAAGGCGTTTCTTGAAGGATTTACCTGTTTGTCCAATATAAATTTTAGGACAAGATCCGCTTTTCAACTTGTAGACACCTGATTTTTGGGATTTTGGACACTTCGTTTTATTGTTTTTAAAAATTTTTCCTATTGTGTTGTTAGTTCTGAAAACTATTTTTAAACCACATTTTGACAAATGTTTTGAAACTTTTTCACTGGGTTCTCCTATGTATGTCATTGTTTTAAATTGTTCGTGTTCTGTATTAGGTTTTGGAGAAACGCATTAACGAACATAAAAGAGCGTTTAAAAACAATGGTATAGATTCTAATTATGCTACACACTTAAACACAGAAAAACACATTTTTGAGGACAATTTTGATATTTTACATATAGTTACAAAAAGCAGAAAATTAAATTTATTGGAAGCCATGGAGATTAACAAAATGAGACATTCAAATGTATTGCTTAACGATCAATTAGATTTAAATACCGCTCCATTATTAAACTTAAATTCGCACAAAAACATTAATTAAGGTTTTATTGTCATTTTGCGGTATATATAGCAGAAGGTAGTTTGTAAATATTACATTTGTGTTGTCGAATAATTTAGTGAAAATCTGAACTTTTAGTTCTTATTTATTTGGTTAAATGGATTTGCATCAAGTAAAAGACACCTCAATTCAATTCGACCATTTGTGTTGTCCCCGTTGACACTAGCCGAAGCGAGACCGAACGCCGTTCGGGATTTTCGGTACATTGAACATTGGACACTTTGGGGTGTTTCCATGAGGACGCAAGGACATTGATTAAATTGCACTTATTTCAATAAAAAATAAACTGAAATTATAACTAGAGAGCCTACCTGAACCTGGAAGATCGTCACCGTATCGTCCAACATTTGAACCCGCATGGCCAACATCTTGCCGCCCTTTTTAGGGGTGGCGGGCGGCGTCCGGGCGCCCCCGTCCACCCCTGCGGGCGTCGACAACGAGTGGTGCATCGTGCCCGTCACACTCTCGACGCTGCTCGACAATGCACCCGTCGAGCCCCTGGCACTGTTCGCGTCCATTCGAGTGACGACGGCGAAGACGGAAAAACTGGCCTACGCCGCCACTGGCGACCGTCCCGCTGCCGTAATTGTAACGCGTTTCCGAAAACCGGGATCATTTGGTTCGATCCTGGCGAGAAAAAAAAAATCGTTTAAAAAGTAAAGTCTCTGGAAAAATATGATGGTAGAATGAGAGTGGCAGAAAAATATACAGGAAGATCAATAACCACGATGCGAAGAAAAATCTTTTTATAATTTAATAGTTTTTTTCTCCACATCTAATTTTTTTTTCAGTTCCAGTTCCGTCAAAATTAGTTTTTCAGTAAAAACCCTATAGCAAAGTAGCCTAGGTGCATAATTGCGCATATCATTATATTCTTACAACAGCCGACAATATTTGGTAAAATTACAGATCGGTACAAATTTCTACTTCGCGCTAGTTTGCTGTGAATGCTGTGAAAATTCTAATATTCCTATTTTAGTGTAGTTAAATTCCCAACAGGGCGGTGTGTGGCATACCAGTAAATTTCAGGCTTTTGATTGATTATAAATCCTAATCCTAATAAATAAAAAAAAACATAATGTTACTGATGTTACGAGCCGTAATAGTTAATGGTTACCTAACATCACAGGAATTGAAAAAAAACTTTTTTCAAGTTTAATCGACTTTATTTCTGTTTCCATTATTTATTTATTTTTTTATAAACATTTTTCTTTTTTTTTTCCTAATATAGCATATGTGTCTAATACTGACTATCATTATATTCTTAAAACATGGCAAACGAGAGCACAACTAAGCCGACAATTTCTGGCGAAATTACAGTTCTCTACAAATTCTTGCTTATCGTTACTTTGCTGTGAATGCAACTGTGAGCTGTCAAAATTTTAAAATCCTTATTTTAGTGTCGTCACAATTCTAAGACGTAAGACTAATTATTTTTTTATTGTGTGCTCTCGGATTCAGTAAATTTATTAATTTAATTTAATTTATACATAAATCCTTGAGTCAAATTTTATTTTTCTTCTTTCAAAAAAAAAATTAAATAAAATTAGTGATTTTATTTGCCGTAATATCATAGAATTTTTATTTACTCATATCGCACGATTTGAAGATTTTTTTAATTCGATCCACTTTTTTTTCGATTTCTATTGATTTTTTGTCTTATAAACAAAAACAGTTTCTATTTTCAACCCATTTTTGATTTTATTTTCAGTTCCAGTTGCGTCAAACTTAGTTTTTCGGTAGGTAAAAACTCTAGAGAAAAGTAGCCTAATATCGCATAGGTGCCTAATACCGGATATCAATACATTTTTTCAGACACGCGCCATTTGTGTGTTTTTACGTTTACATTTCTACTTTAGTGACTCCATATTTCTACTAATATTTTTTTTATTATGTACCATTGGATTTAAATTTCAGCTTTGAGTTCCTAATATCGCAATAAAATATCCTATAAATATCTTACTATTCCCAGCGTGAAAGAACACCTACCGCTTCATCGGACAAAAAAATTCAAATTGTTCCTTCCAGAAGAAGAGAGCAAAGACTAACAAAAAAATACTGTGGCCATAACACCTTTGATAGCTTATCCACTACAAGGTCCAAATAAGAACGTTGTAAAACCTACAGACATTAGTCCTATACCCTGGATAATAGTAAAAAAAGAAGGCATACCACGCCCTCTCAACGGGACCTTCATATAAGTTACAACTCCAAGAGGCTGTAGCAAAAAAAAAACTAAAAAATAGGCACTCATTAAGCATAAAATTGTCAAAAAATATATGTAAGAAGTATATGTTAAGGAAAATCCAAAGAATAAACTGAAGGGAAAGGAAAATCGGAAAAAGGTTCAGCCTCTTCTAGTGATCTTGAGACCGAAACTGAAGTGCAATTAATAGGCAGTGAGGACGATATGGACAGAGATAAGGAAGATATCGGTCTATATTGCAATAACCTTTTTTCGGGCAACACGAAAAGGGAAGAACGGATAAAGTGTACTTAATATTTCAATTGATATCATGAAAAATGCCCGCGTCTAGTTGCGAAAATTGTTTCTTTTTCACTTTTTATGAAATTTTCTTCCTTCTTCAATTTAAAATAATAAATCTTTAAAGTACATTCCTTTCACTTTCTTTTACACTTTCGCGTTACTAATATCGGAAGTGTGCGATATTAGAAATAGTTATAATTTTTTCAGTTTTTTGGTATTCTTGAAATAGAGTGCGAGGTATGGGGAGCTGTTATTGGATATTTTTTGTTAAATAAAACAAAAAAATATCTAATAATAGGCTACGTTCCTCTGCATGTAACAAAAATTAACAAGCATTTTTTTAAAATACAACAACCACTGGATTCCAATCAACTTTCCTTTTCAAAGATACGACCAAAAGTTGTGGTTTAAGCTGCAAGTTTACACCAAAAATTTTAGATATATTTATTTAAAATAGTGCTCGAGTACTACTCGGCAATAACCTGACGAGTGCTTTGGAAAAATGTATTCTATATAGCTTAGACGTTGTAGAAACAAAACAAAAAAATTTGGGTCAAGCGATTTTCGCAGCGCTTAAGGGCGACATTGGACGTTAAAGGGCCTATTAAGATGATAACGAAGCGAACTCTTTTAAATCACGTCCCAAGAGCCGTTTTAATAATGGGCGCAAGTTTATGAATGGATTTTAATCGCTTGAATGATTATTTTAATGAATATCCGAATAGCTTACTTTTAACGGTCAATATTAAGTTTAACTTGATAGGCTTTCAAAGGAAATAGAAAAAGGATTATTATACAATGTTTTTTAAAAGCAAAGAAACAAAACGGAAAACTAGAAAAAATATTGAAAATAACATCAAACGCATATGAATAATTATATAAAAAAAAATAACAGCGGTAGATTTCTATACTATCTAAAACAATTTACAATTATTATTATTCCGTCTTAAATCAAAAACCCTGCATAATGTAACAACGAAGTTACCTTTTTCGTAGCAAATGTAACATTCGATGTGTATCAAAAAGGACGAAACCCATGTCGTAAGCCGCGACTTGCACTAAATTTTTAGAACTTCAACCCACCCAATGGTCATTGATCTCATGTTTCACCTTTTTTCTCGTGATCTAGGACGAAAGGGAAATAAACAACGTCGGCAATTAACTTACATGCATTTTTGAATGTGCTTATCCTCTTCGGCGATTGTTGTACAACAATGTTTTTTCAGCACATAGCACAAACAAGTTCAAAACACACACCCAAAATAGTGCCAATTGCTAAAACCGTACCTCATACGGAAGTTAAATTGAAACTGACTCGAGCCACAAACCACAGTAGCTTGAGCGAGCAAAGGCTCGCGAACTTACCAAAAGCGCTTTCGCCAACATAGACGACGAAAAAGTCAGTTCCCAGAGCCATAAGCCGTACGTAATTTTACGTGGACTGCACTGTCGCGTATTGTGGCTTTTTAACCCTTTTTCTATGTTCTCTGTGTCGGTTTGAAAATGGCTGAAGATTCTTTAATTGATATTTCCGCAAATGATATTTCAAAATTAAAGGTGCTGATCATATTTTGTGGTTCATTATGCATGTAGTAACTGTATTTGCGTTAAATAAGTTATTTGAATTTTTGAATATCTTCGTGTTATTTGACAGGTTATGTTTTGTTCTCTAGGTACCAGACTTAAAAAAAGAATTAAAAAACCGCGGTTTAAGTACTACCGGCAATAAAAACGAACTCGTTGAAAGACTACAAGCTTCGTTAAAAGCATCATCCGATGTGATGGATGATATTGAGGAAGACTTGCTGAACGTAATTTTTATTTTTTAAAATTGTATCATTGTTTTTAAAATGTTTGAAAATTTTTAGGACGACGATGATGAACACTTGGACGAAAATGAATCTGTCATACACGAATTCGATAATGAGCTCGAGGATTCGCCTGGGAACCAGAAGCGAAAGTTAACTGAAATTACCACCGACAAGTCTGAAACCAATAACGAACCGCCAAAGAAAGTGATATTGAATAGAAATAACAATGCGGCGAGTGTTTTGGCTGATAAACAAACTAGAGACGTTGAAAAAATTTCATTGCCAGAGAAGCCAGATGGAAATACTGACGAGAAGAAAGTCATAAAATTGTCTGAGCTTTCAGTTAAAGAGGTAAAAATACAGGAAAATGGACCGGGTGGACAATTAGGACACCTAGAAATTAAAAAATAATTTCCACCATTTTCTCTTGTACATTTTAGTTGTAAGTTTTTCACCCCACGTCTTTACACTTACTTTTAGAGATAGTGTCAAGTTAATTGCCCACCTGGTACCCCAACTTTTTGAAACGATGTTGTATACATTTTAATTTAATATAGAGATTAGAAATGCGGGCAAAGAAGTTTGGAGTTACTGCCCTGAGCGACAATGCTAAAAAGCTCGTAAGGGCAGAGCGGTTTGGAAACAACTCTGTTTCAGTATTATCAGATTCTCCATCAATCAAATTATCTGATGTAGGTATTGCCTCATGGTTTTTAATCTATTGCAATATAGTTAAGTTTTAATTTCCCAGAACACAAACCTGGATGTACTTAAACAACGGGCGGCGAGATTTGGTGGGTCAGTCTCATCGGTTATGTCAGATTTAGAGACTCAGGAGAAATTGGAGAAGCGAAAGGAACGGTTTGGCGCCGGTTTGGGGAGCAACGGAACGTCCGATGTGGAAAAAGCCAAAGCGGCACGGCTGGAAAGGTTTAAACAGTCGGTAAAATAGCCTAGAATAAGTAATATATATTTTTTATATTATATAATGCCGTTTTCCTTTTGTTCACCCTTATTATTAAAGTTTTGATACAGTTTTTGATGTGCATAAAATTTTTCGCGCTGTTTCCATTGGTGCCCTTAGTTCGATCTAGTTAATGGCTTTTTCTTTTGTTAATCACAAAATTTATGGCACACAATTTATAGCCACTGTGTATTGATGGATATGTGAAAGTTTATTTTTTTCCAATAAAAGACCACTTTTACTTATTGGAGACTATGTTTTCATTAGTAAATACCTCGATCATCTTGATGGAAGAATGGACAATACTTTTTTCTTTGCTGCTGTTAAACTAGTTGTGTAATATTTATGAGGTGAGGTAAAAGAGGTTGCAACTTATATTAAATATAGGTAAATAAAACAAATTACAAAATAACAAATAAATGTATTGATGAAAAATAACATTAACAATATGTACTCCGTGTCACTGGTACAAAATCGAAACTTATATCTGAGAGATCGCCTGAACTTGGATGGTTTGATTATCAGCGGTACTGAAATAAAAAAAAAATAATTGGAACAAAATTAAGTATGATTAGTCTTCATACTCACATTACGTGTACCGTCTCCATGTTCGCCAAATCTTCGTCTTTGAGCTCGATTGTAGCGTGCTCGAAAGTGGTGGTGTGATTAATGACATGCTGGCTCAAACTGTCTAAATCCGAGAAGGATTTCCCGCACACTTTGCAACTGAGGTGCTGTTGTTTGTCGTTCATATGCGATTTTAGATGCGCCTTGAGGCTGTTGGATGCGGAAAATCTAAAAAAAAACTGAATTATTGAAACATGTTTTTTTTTATTATTTTTAGGAAATTTTTAAGTTTTAATGAAATTGAACTCGTTCGCTTTCAAATTTTGGCGTCAATTCATAGATGCCAACTGAAATAAATCAAAAAGCAATTGTTATTTTAACTAACCACTTTTTTACTATATACCATAAACATTACCATTATAAAAAAAAACTTTTTTGTATGAATTCGTCATTAAATCTGTCATAGAATATTCTAGAAATTTCTGGCAAAAAAACTATTATAGAACTAAATAAAGACTACTACTACTGTTGCAAAACAAAAAAAAAACAAACATAGCCTCATACCTCATTTTAAGAAGTTCAAATAAATTGAGATGAAAAGTGCACGCTCTTATTGAAAAAAGAGCTATGTAACTTCAACGTAACCTCAATTTTAATTCACAATAAACATGGGACAAAGATTTTTTTCTAATATAAGGTGGCGGTGCTCCATTAATTAAAAAAAAAAAGACGATTGTGGTTTGATTGTTTTTGAGCTTTACATTTAGGATGGGGGCCGGACTTATGGGTCTTAATATTAATCACTAGTTGTAAACCTTAAATTCAAACGGTCTGTTTAATAATTTTTATTTTTCGGCCTCGATCTCTACTCAAGTATTTCTTGAAATAAACTGTCCCCTGAACAAAACTATTTTATTATTCCAAAAATCCAAATAAAAAAAAATTTAGTTTTACCTTTGACGAATGTTTGCGGTAATATTTCAAACGTTTCTGCTCAAGAGCTGAAGATAAAAGAAACTAGCTTGCAAATTAAAATTTTAAATAAAAACGAATGCGCTTGTGCCACCAACTTGTGGGATAAAAATCCGCACACGGTGTTTATATCCAACTCTCCCAAAAGTATTTTGCAGTATTTTGCAACAGCTGACATTTAGCATTTAGTCATCAGCCATAGATAATACCCATAATCATATCATTATCATATATCAAGGGAGAATGACATGACTCAGACAATATTGCCATTGCTAAACATCATCAGATTTTATTTACAAATAGTTCATTTTTTAGCAATAGCCATATAGTTTGTAAAAAAATGCATTTTTTAACGTTATAATAACAATAACAAATATCTTTATTCCTTTAACCATTAATAACAATAATATTGACAAAATAATATCCCGAACTCAATTTCTTAGCAAAGGGAAGAGAAAGTCAGACATCTGTGTGACGGAAGTAAGGATAAGGAAAGATCTAAGTAAATAAAATAAAATAATAATAAATAATAAAATAACATGCTACTGCATGTAAATCGTCGACGTTCCAATGACAACTTGCTAAGCGATTTCTCATTCTTAATTCCCTGTTCCAGAAAACTACCCTCTAAAATTCAAAAGCTTTAAAAATCCACGCTGTACTTTCCCTATTGCGTCAATCAGTGTGAACTTAAATTGAATATCATACTATAGACGCACAGTTTTAACAATAGAGTTGAATAAAATCGTAAATTTATAAATTCTAAAGGGCTACAATTGCTATTAATAAATCCTACCTTTCACCATGGAGGAAATATGTTTGACACGGTCACGGACAGCGCTAGATCTATCTTGTGACATTGAAACTTCATATTTAGAAACACTGAAAATTAGTTTATCAGTGCACCATTTCTGGAAGGCATCAAGCTGCCCTTGGGAGTCATTACCACTAATAATAGAAGATACTATTTCTAGGTCGTCACCAAATAGGATAAGCAGGCAAGTAAACAGCTCTCCAATATCATTTAATGAACATTGAGAACAGATCCTTGTGGCATCCCTGAATGACATAAAAGACCTTGGAGTATCATCAGAAACATTTTGCAACAAGTCGAGTCGGTTTATCTAATGAATCACATACATATCAACCAAACAACAACCTTTTCAAATACTTTAGCAAAATTCCACAATTTAGATATTGGCCTATAATTTAGAACATTACTAGCATCACCACTCTCGAGAACAGGACATACTCGGGCTATCTAAGGAAGCTTGGAATGCCATCAGCAAATTTATTCAGAAGTGTCCTCATGCTATTAATTACTTCAGTTTCGGTTATATATTGCATATAGATGAAGGAGCGGGGCCGTAGACAAAACCAAAAAAAATAGCAAACCCAATAATATCATGTTGTATTTTAAGTGTGTTTGGGATTCATGTTCGCGTTTTTCGGATCAATCTTTAATTGATTTTCGATTAGAACTAAGTAGTTTTTATGCGCCTCTTGCACATCACACATTGTTCCTAATTAGATGCCATATTCACTTTCGTTACTGACAGACATATAATTGCGACAATTTAAATACGTTACTGGTAGTAGCTAATTTCCTGTTCATTTTAAAATTAAATTTTTGTTTTTAATTCTTTTGCTCATAAACAATATGAGGTGCATATGGGATATGCTACGTGAATTATGCTGAAATTTGGTGTTATATTTAAAAAAGGGACTTAGTATTAGTATTGGCATCTATTTTTGGACCCATCCTATATATTTTCTATTTGTTTGCCGCAAAAAAAATACGCAATAAAAATTATGATGGACGTGTACAAGCAGTTTTCTTTAAATCCAATACCTGATTTTTAAATGAATTTGTTTCAAAAGTTAGCCGTTCACTGTATTTGCAGAACTAACCAAAACAGCCATTTGATGAATGATTTATACAGTCCTTTTTAATTGAATATCCTCAACCTATTAAGAATCCTCAATGGAAGCACACGTAAGCTTATGGCGCAAAATCCTGACAGTCACATGACCCATAAGTGAAATATGTAAACCAGCCCGGACTGACCCAATAACAATAACGCTTACTCAGGTTATTTGTAACATATGAAACCTATTGATACAGGTTGTTTTCTCATTGAATGTCAATAATTAAGGGGTCGATTTTTGGGACCATTTTAAACTTCATATGGACATAATATGTCCTAAAAGTCTTAACTTTTGAGATACGTGGTAAAGTTTTCAAAAATAAAACATTTTTTTAATATCTGCAATACCACTTTAGATATGTTTATAAAATTTGGCACACATGTACCATGTATCAAGATGCATTATTTAGAGTACCACATTCTTTTTATATACACCAGTGGCGGAAGTACGTCACTAATTTCTATTAAAATAAAAATTATTATTACAATCTCCACTCATTATTAAAGAAATTTAATTTCTTGATTTTTTCAATAGGATGTACGGTTTTCGCTTTAAAAAAAATAAAAACCTCTTCTCTGTTATTACAACAGCATGCGGAGAAAGATTATCATTATTATTTTTGACTTAAATAATTGTCTATCTGTTTTACTCAAAAAAATCGTATAATCGTAAGTATGAATACGAAGTAAATACACTTTGAGGTGTATTTTTGAAATCGTTTTTTTTTCTTAAATAACAATCGTTTATTATTTACATAATATTACATATATTATCTAATTTGATTAAGGTAGCTTTGACTTGATCAAAATCCATTTAACACAATTAAATTGGAACAAAAAATGTTCAGATTTTCAATGATTTATGACAGCTGTTTCGGAAACACCCTGTCTTTATCAAATGATAAGGCACGGTGTTGCTTTTATTAAATGATAAAGGCACGGCACGAAACAGTTATCATAAATCATTAAAAACTGAAAATCTGAACATTTGATCTAATTTAATTGTATATACATGGCGACCTAATTAACCAAAATATAATTTGTTCATAGACAGTCAGCGGCACGCCCCTAATTTCCTTAAAAAATAATGACATTTGTTTTCATTTATGATCAGATTGCTTTGTTTTTTTTTAGTCGGTCACACGGTTTTCACTTAAAAACAAAAACTAATTTCTCTGCGTGCGTCACATTAACGATATTGTTACGACCATGCAAAGACGAGGCTTTCATTTTTTAAAGCGAAAACCGTACATCGAAGTGAAAAATATCAAGAAACCAAGTTTCTTTAGAAATGATTGGAGGTTGTACGAGTTAATTTTATTTTAAGAGAAATCAGTGGCGTACCATACCATCAATGTCTGCCAAAATAGACAGGTGAAATTCCGTGGTACACAAAAAAATTTTTTTTTGAAAACTTTACCGCCCTGTATCTCAAAAGTTAAGACGTTTAAACATATGTTCATATGAAGCTTTCTTGTTAAAATGGACCCAAACAATGCCTCCCTTGATGATTGACTTTCAATTACAAAACACCCTGTATATTGTAATCGCTAGCATTGGCAAGTGTCAAAGCCATAAGTTAAGTTGTTTTGTGCCCATTATCCGCAAATAAATATTTTATAAAAAGGAAGTTTACTGAATCGAGATTACAATTCTTGTACGCACACACCTGACATTAAAGAAAATTAAACCACGCTCTCACCGTTTTCCGCAAGTCTCGCACGAGTAGGGCTTCTCGCCCGTGTGAGTCTTCATGTGTCCCGACAACTGGCCCGACGAGGTGAACGCCTTGCTGCACACGTTGCAAACGTGCGGTTTGTCGCCCGTATGCGATCTCACGTGTATGATCAACGTCTCGTGTCTACTGAAACTCTTCTGGCACATTTCGCAGGTGTACGGCTTTTCTCCAGTGTGGGTCCTTTGGTGTATGGTGAGGGTGTTCGAGCCAGCGAAGGCTTTGCCACACGTCTGACATACGTAAGGACGAGCACCCGTGTGCGTGCGCATATGGATACCGACATAACCCGATTGGGTGAAACTAAAATAAATGGGAAAACCATAAATGCTAAAATGTGTATTTGTCCAAATCACCCGAGTCACTGGGGATGAACGGGTGTTCGAATGGGTAAAGCGGCCGAAACATTTATCCAAATAAAGAGAAAAGTTAAAATACAAGTGTAAACACGGCTCAGATATCAAATTAAATTATAAAATGCGGTTAAATTATTTTACTTTGTAATTATCTATAGAGGTGATTTCCACTATACAGTGTACTTACGAACAAAATAAAATTACCAGTTTACAAAAGAAAGTTAAGGTTATTAGACATGATATAAATGAAGGTGTAGGTAGGTATTTCATTGGCACCTAAGGGAGTTTTATTTTATAATTTTATCTTTTAAAATAGGTATCTTTGGTAATAGGCGATGTTCTTATCTAAAATTTTAACCCTTTTTTTTTTTCATACTTGTTATCCTGATAACTATTTAGGTAACATTTACTTTTTGATTCTTGGGTATGCTAGATAGCTGGTTCATTTTTTGCATAAACCAAAGTATTTTAATTGACAACCATATTTATTGAATAAATTGAATTTATTGAATAAATTTAAAAATCGTAAATAATTTTAGCTGTGAGAACCCACGTTTTTATTAACCTTTCATGATTCGTGATAATCGCCGTATGCAATTTTCCGAGTAAAAGGTACCTAGTAGACAATTTCACTATGACTCCAACGATTTTTTAAAAATAATTGATAACTTTTAAACAAACACATTTATGATAGGTTCGGCTCTTTGATTAATTAAAATGCAACTGAATCTTTTAAGCTGAGTCACTGTAAATATTAACGCATGTATTTTAAAAACATTATAACGCTTTGCCGGCCTCCCTTCCGCAGTGCCCCGAAGGAGCCTGGAACGTCCCGATACGATTTGGACAAATGAACATTTCGACAAATACGGCCATCTCAAACAAATTGTGCGCGTAGATATTGTAAATCCGCATGATCCGTAAACATAATAGGTTGCTCTAAGTAAGGGAGGTGCGGGTAGAGGTAACGCGTCAATTGGCGACTCCTGCTAAAACCTTGACTGTTAGTAGCCCTTACTTGTTATGTTTAGAAATGGTGTTTTAGGGTGAAAATTTATTTATTTCTCGAATAAAAATTATTAGTGGAATGTACGAGGTCGTCCGTTATGAGATGGCACCTTATCTCACAACCTATAAGCAAACAAAACTGGTTTGGATACACTTATACTTTTAAAATAGTATATCGTTGTATGGCGTGTTTATATTTTCGCGACCAAACAACAATTTTCTTATTTTTCAGAAGCGTGTGCTAGTCGGCAAGAAAATTCCACACCAGTAGCTTGTAACTAATCAAAATTGATTTTGTTGACAGATTTGAATAGCGACGCATGTTTCTATAAAAATCTGTTGAGTACCCAAGAGGAAAAAAATTCCACTAAAATTCATCCGTGATTTATCAAAAAACACGTTTTGAATGATTAAAAATTACAGGTGTGGCAATTTCACATATACTATCCTACACCTAAGTTCAATCGTTTTTATATTTTGAATTTTATGTCAAAAATAATGTTGTCAAAATATCTATTGATTTCTCCCACTGAAAGCCTTGGTTATATGCTTGGGGTTAATTTTTTTTTAGAAGGGGATCTGCTTGATACTTTAAAAATAAATAAATACGGGGTGATCAAAAAATAATATTTAAAATTTAAATGAAAAAATTGTTAAGTAAGTTTGATAGAATTTAAATTTAAAAAAATTGTAGATTTCAATATAATAGCAATAAATCGTTTTTCCATAGTAAAAATGATATGAGGAAAATCTAGAACTGCAGAAATGATACTTATTACCGTTTGACAACTTTTTGTAAATCTTATAAATCATACCCGGTTATTAATACAAGTTGTTTAAAATTACAATAAAGAATGACTAAGTTAGGTGGCATAAAATTGTCAAACACTGATCTTCAAAAACACAGCAAGCCAAAATAGCAAGCAAGCAGCAAGTCCCTAGTGCTCGATTGTTTTTTTTTTTGCCATGTGTCTCTCCGTCATAGCAATTTTATAATGAAAAACAGTTTTTTCCTAATATTTCGAAATCATCAAGTTTTAAATAGGATAGGATTATAAAATGACTGAATGAAAAAAATGCCTGCACGATTTTATTTAAAATTTTAATGTTACTCTTTGATCGCTCTGTACTTATTAATTAATTAAATCTATTAATATAAGTTTCCTTCCATAATAAAATCAACACCGAAGATATACCAAAAACTCTCAGTCAATATATATACAATATTTTAATCTTCAACCTATCCATTATGTTTAATGAACTAACTAAAGCGTAAAAATTAAGTATAAATTCCTGTTATAATAAGGTACTTCTTTGATGTCTAGTTTAAGGTACATATGTTATTGTTATAATTTCATGCTTACTTTTAATATTTTGGAATGTGTAGATTTTATTTAGATTTTTTTGAGTGTGAGTGGCTTTAAAACCAGAATTCACCCATGTAATCTTAATAAAGACTAAATAAATAGGTAAAGGTTCAACCGATGACCCTTACCCTTTGTTGCATACTGGGCACAGGTAGGGTTTCTCTCCTGTGTGAACCCTAATATGTTTTTCGAGATTGCACAGTTGGGTGAAACTCTTTTGACACACTTCGCATACGTAAGGCCTTTCGCCAGTGTGCGACCTCAAGTGGATTCTCAGACTTCTCGCCTGAAAACGAATGAATCGTGAGAATGGGAGACTCCCCAACACGACATTGTATAATCACTTCGACGTATTGCTTGCTGCAATACTCGCACGTTAAAAGCTTGTGCCCCGTGTGATACTTCATGTGTTTGTGTAGGCTGGAGGCCCATTTGAACGCTCGCCCGCACACCGAACACAAATGCGGCTTCCCTTTGATGTTCCGTAATTCTCCGGTGTGCTTCTTTTTGTGCTTGCTGAGGTTAGAACTCTCGGCAAACGTCATCTCGCACTGGTCGCATTGGTGAGGCTTATGTTCGAGGTGAATTTTCGAATGGCGCTTGAGAATACGCGCCTCCGCGAACGCTTTGTTGCACACTTCGCACACGAAGTTTAGGTCCTTCGGGTGGGACATCATGTGAACCTCAAATCCAACATTATTCTGTTTAGCATTAACAACACTTTGATAGAAACACGAATTATGAAACCGGTTCAACAAAACAGCACAAAGATTGACACAGAATCCGTCTTATCGGAGGTTAGGTACTGTACCGCCCCACCAACCACGGCAAGGTTGCTAATGTATTGCAAACAATAAGAAGAGATAAAAAGCATCATTTGGCAACATTGGAATGCCTGTTAGGTGTCGCGGTTGTTTATACAGTTCTGACTATACCTGTCATCAGTGAGGTATTACATAGCTACTAGAAAAATAGAGGCTTTGCCTAATGCCGATGAAACAAGAACATGACATATAAAACAACAATATACACTACGGTAGAAATTGATGCGTCCCATTTTTCGTACACATGCCTCTACGTTTCAACCACTAATCACCACTTTGCGTCATTTTTTTGCAAACAGCGACTTTCACACAGTTAACCCGTCAGAACATTTAACCAGACCTAAGCATATTTTGAGAAAATAATGCCGTAAAAATACCGCTTATTGACGATCTGTCAGCGGCCATGTTAGTTCTTGAATGCCCCAAGTGATGTTAAAAGTCTTTATATTATCGGCATAGGCGAAGCCTATTATATCTCCAGTAGCTATACGGAAGCAACTATGAAAAAAAAATAGCGAAGATTTAAAATCTAGTTTTTAACCAATGACATTGCGGCGTTCAATAACCGATACGGCCAAGATCGCCAATAAATTTGGATGCAGAATTTTTACGGCAGTGTTTTTACTCAAAATATGTCCAGATCCCATTAAATCTTCAGTCAGATTATTATTTTCTTACGTCCGTTGGTATTTGGATGATTTATATTTAGTATTTCCTGTAAATGGGTCATTTTACCTATTGGAAATAAAGTGCTATTATTATTATTATTATTATATATTTGCTCTTTTACGAAATTACAAAATTTTTTCCAAGAACGCTCTCCATACCTTAACTGCTTTTTGCCTACAGATTTAATAGGATCAGAATATGCCGCGCCTCTATATCTCTAATAGCTATATGATCTAATATGATCTAAATAAACAAAAATGTTCATTTAGTTACAATTGGTGTTTTCTTTTAGCAATGACAGACACTGACTTTTGCATTTGGGTATGCACTAACATGATAGTTAAAACATATATTCAGTTTAAGGCAAAATAAAAAAATGTAAGTGTAAACAATTATCTAACATCACTAAATTTGTGTAGTAATCAAATTTAAATAAAGTTTGAACTATTTTTATACTTAAAATTAATTTTTAGCTGTGTTAACACTTAAAGGATAATGGTAAGCTGTTGGGCAAGATGCGATAAGCATTAAATCAGAAAAAAATTTATCAATTTCCGAAGGATCCAAAAATGAGAAGCAAAGGAAAAAAACTAACAAGATATTGGTAATTAAAAATTTATTTTGTGTTTTTAAAATGACTTTCATAAACTTTCAGAAGAATAAAACGAGCCAACTATTTTCGGACACAATGATGGAAAAAGTTTAAACTACTCGAAACTGCAATAAAAAAGAAGAGACATATTAAAAAAGTGTCTGTGATGAAGGCGTTCTAGGTTCAGAATCAAAGTAGAAAAACACTGTAGACATCGAAATTGAGTCACAAGCATCTGCATCTAAAGTCTAGACATGATTTGACGATACTGAGAAATTGTTTTAACTTTTATATCTTTTATATTATTATATGAAATATATTATTATACCAATGTAGCTGTCGGCATACCCTTTAAAATCAAAAATAGGATTTGCCGCAAAAATTATTTATATATAAAATAAGTATGATATCAATTTTTTCAGCACTGTTATCAATTTAAAAACAAAAGATTTGTTTAGCTACAGTTTGACATTTTTTGAAGTTACAAAAACAAATTATCACACTAATGATGAATATAAACAAAAATTGATACCTATCTTTGCTAGTACTATATCACTGGAGTCTCAAACACATCTTTTATTCAATGTACTTTCCCTTTATAATCCGCAATAGTGGTAAACTAATTAAAAAAAAAAAATTGCAAATACTATACCTTTAAATCGACCTTCAGCGGAAAGTATATATCACATTTTGTGCAATGATATTTCAGTTTCTTATCACCGCCGTTATTTAGATCTGTAGTAATGGTAACAATATTTTCTTCAGCCTTGCAATCTTTAAAGACTTCATCATCCTCTTCTTCGCCTTCGTGATCGGTGGATTCAATCGTATGAATCGTGTAGAGTCCGCCTTTTAAATCTTTCACCTAAAATATACCAGGCAGCAGGTTGGCAAAGCGCGGTCTGTGCGAATGATATTATATTCAAAGCAGACCCAACAAGTTATTGATAACATGCCTTTAGAACCCAGGAGTTGCCATGTTACTTTTTGGCATTAGAAAGTATTTTACATGTGGTGGGAGAAGAGTCGTTCTGGCAAAACGCATGACGTCTTTGGATATCTCGCCGTAGAATCTCTATATACCTATGCATAAAATCTCAAATGAATGTTATTGCATCAACGACTAATCGTTGAATAACTGAGTCCCAATTAAATTAACATCTAAAGGTGCAGTTTCACAAGAACAAATAATAAATTTGAAACATGCGACTGACTACATGAAAAAGAGCTTGTCGGTCCTGCTTTGGATATAACGCTTGTGGTCTGTGCACCTCGACGGAATCGTCATCAGCGTAGGTTACAAACTCAGCAGTGAATCCATCTTGGGATGTTTCTTCTATGACTACATTGGAAACGTTTTGAAATTGAAGTTGTTCTTCGAGACTTTTTTTCACAGTCTGTTGTTCAATATGTCGCAACAACTGCGTCTGAAATTTTTTTTTAATTTATGGATGTTGATTAAAACAAAAAAACATAAAATTTGGGTATTTACCTGAAATTCAGAGCTCATGTATTGGCGAAGAATTTTATCCGATTTTTCACATTGCTGTTTAAATGTATAAGCTCGGCTGCATTGAAGAACGCATTGTACGCACATGAGGTGCGGTAATCCATCACCTTCTGCAATCTGTTAAACCAGAATGTAACAAAAATTATAATAAAACTTAGTTGCTGCCTATTGGGTTTTAATTCTAAAAATTTTTTTTAATTTTAAATTAGAAAGATGAAAACCAAGTTTTCAATCTATGGGAATTTTTGAATTTTTTGCTTTTACCACAAATGTTATTATTTTAGTATGTGGGATTTAGTTTTAAGGTGTTATTTCTGTTACGGTATACCCTGTAACTTTTTAATACCCAACATTTTTGTAAACAAAAGTAACTTGACAAACATTTCTAGAAACGCGCCATTTTTGAATTTTATAAACATAACCTCTAAAGTATTTGGTATTGTTCAAGGAAGACTAGGGAAGGCTTTTTAAAAATTTAAAATTTTTAATACAAATTTAATTTGAAATGCTACAAGTAATAAAATAAATTACGTATAATATACCGATACAGCTTTTTAAAATATTTTGTAATTCAAATATTAATTTATCAACAGTATTTTCATAATTTTAATGTTGCCGCAAAAGTAATTTTCACGATTGCTTCCGTGAATCTGGGACATCTTAAAAATTGTCCGTCATTGTCTTTCACCCCAACATTGACAACAACGGACAACAGAGATGAGCGCTTATTAATAATTTTTACCTCTACGGAAGCGAAAGAATGTAACATTTCGTCAAGACAGGCTCCAAATAGGGGCTTCATGTCGCCTTTTTCGGACAAACAAGCCCTGCAAATTTTGTCCAAATTTAAAGGAGCATTTAAGTAAACAGTCATATCCATTTTGACCTTCCTTTCTGCCGCTTCAAACGTCCGTCTTGGTGTTTTTCACTAGTACCGAACGTACGTCTTCACAACAACACAATATGGCGATCGAAAATCGAAAGCATTTACGAAATATGTTTATGCCATGAAAGTTTTTGGCTGGACGTAGGACTTTGATTATGCGCCAGACATGTCATTCCATCTTCATTTAACTGTACACTATAGAAAGAGTAAGGAGACTTTTTATATTTTTACATCCTGACTGTCGCCACACACATTTCTTCCATAATTTTTTTTTAATAAATAAATTTTTTCGGTTTAAAAAATGTTGTAGGTAGCATCTAGCTGATTTTATAAACCACCACTAGTGAAAAGAAAAAATAATCCAAGGTTAAAACATTAGTGACACGCGCCATCCACAGACCAAATTTAATCCCAGCAATGGTATGATCAGTTATGCTATTTATATTTTAAATTTTTTTCTAACCTAAAGAATAACGACCGGTAAAAATGAAGAATTTAAATGAATTTCAAGTTCCAAACGATTACGAGATTCCTCTCTGTGAAATAAATGGAAAAGTGCACTGCATGAATGCTGAATATGCCAACATAAATACTTTCACCAATGCTGTAAGTGCATTTAAATAAGATGTGGGAGTTTCAATAATTTAATTAAATTTGTTCAAAGGTCGAAAATCATCCAAAAATTCATATAACTAGAGATCAGTTACATGCTGTAACTTCTAGAGATGAAGGGAAAGCGTTATTTCTGCCAGTAAATGTACCATTTTTGAAGCAGCTAACCCAGGTCTATTGTGAGCAGGGTCTGGTTGAAACTCTTCATTTTATCAAATCTCACAACCAATTTGTGGTTTCAAAAAGCGCTTCACTATGTTTAACAATTTTAAAATACATTCGCAAGATTAGATTAATTTTAAATCCAAATATAAGATATAGTGGTCCAACTTTAATTACACAATTGGGACAAACAAGAGATTGGGTCAACAGCACAATTAGATGTATTTCTTGGCACCCATACTGCAAAAAACTTGCAGTAGTGACTTGTGATGACAGTGTCCGGATCTTTAGCAGTGAAAGCACATATTGTCCAGTCCTGAGATGTAAACAACAAAAAAATATAACCTGCATAGCTTGGAGACCTCTATCAAATACAGAAATTGCTGTTGCTCATGAGTGTGGGGTTATAATATGGAATATTGACTCCAATTCTTTGGTAATTTGTTTATCATTGCTTTATAGTTGTTTTAACTTTTACGTCAATGTTAGGTATCTAGACCTTCTGTAAGTAATGCTATAATATTGCAAAGGCCAGAGCACAGACCTGTTATGAGCATAGCATGGTCACCCAAAGGTGATAAGTTAGTTAGCGTAGCTGCCTGTGACACTACCATTTTGGTGTGGGATCCGGAACTGGATAGAACTAGCTCTTTAAAAAGACCTGGAGGTTTTGGGCATATTTTAGTGAAATGGTCTCCATCTGGAGAAAAACTTGTGAGCTGTTCAGATGGAGTTGTCTTTAGGTAAATGATATGCAGATGACTGGCGATTCTCTCAATTTTTTTCTTCTTTTAAGAATACTTTAGACTATGTTCCATACCTTTAGACTTTGTTTCTTTATTTTCATAATTTAGAAGCAATAAACAATTATCCATCTTTCCATGTATATGGCGATAATAAATAAACAGTTATTGCATACTGCAGGGTTTGGGATTACCGAAACTGGGAATGCGAAAGGTGGACAGTAGTTAGTGGACGAGTACAGTCTGCATGTTGGTCCAGCTATGGATCGTCTCTTCTTTTCGCTACCACCACCGAGCCGGTGATATATGGAATAATTGTAAAAAGTGACCTAGTTTTCGCGAACGAAACCCCCTCCTCTTCGAAACAAGCTGTCCCAATGTTTGACATAAGCAAATGTGATCTGGATGGTGTTGTAGTGGGGGGATTGGTTCAGTGTATGGAAACCGATCTGAAAGGGAAACATTTAGCAGTTATATTTCAAGACACTAATTGCGTTGCCATATTCAATGTTATTAAACAAGTGGGCTTGCAAGTGATGGCGAGGTGAGTGTGAGACTTGGTAAATTACCTTTTTTATGTGTTCTTTTCCAGTTCTCTGGTAATGGGACTAGCTGAAGAAAAACCCAGTGCAATTGCCTTTCAACAGAACTTCGAAGCTGGGGCTTGTCTCACGATAGGTTGGTCCAGCGGGAGGATTCAGTACTATCCCATCATCTATTCTGATTTAGACAGCCAATCGAATTTTAGTCATACCGCCAACCTCTCTTTATATAATTCATTTAGTACATTTTAATATTCAAGCCATAATAATTCCTTTCTTTTAAATCATTAATATATGAAATAGAGGGAGATATTTTAATGTTAAGTTGTTAAGAAATATGAAAAAAGTTCACAACATTCACTCAATTCTGTTAAAATTTAGCAGTTTTATTTAACTAATATATTAAAATTATGGAGTCCAGTGGTGTCCATAACATAAATACACTATAACAAGTGACGAATGAACTGAACGACAAATTCAAGGATTGTTTCTTATCTCTTCTATGGGAGTAGCGTAAATCATCGTCTCGAGGTATCCCTATAAGTAAAATTAATTTAAAAACATTTTAGAGAAATTTTGAAATGAAAATTACTAGAATAACGTCCTGTATAAGACAATATAATAATAGATATAACTAATTCAAATTATTCAAAATTTTTATTTGTTTGCTTAGGATTACAAAAATGCTTGATTTGTAAAATCAATATCATATTCAAATAATACAAACCACCCTAAATACAGAGTGTTCAAATAATGTGTCAAAGTATTGTCTATCGCTTATTATTTGTTTTAGAATAAAATGTTAAATAAAAAAGTTATAGATGATGCTAAAAGAAACAATTTAAAATTATCTTTAAAAATGCAGGGCAATTTGATAAATATGTGGGAAGTCAAAAATATATTTTTAAATGGAGCACCCTGCATACTATTTCCATTTATACTCAATCACAGGGGTGTTACGATCTTCTCAGTCTTTTCGGATTTATGGTAATTTTTTCATCAAAAATGCCCTGTGTTTAATATCCTATATTTTTGTTTCCGACAGTTGTAGTTTTAATATGCCAACAATTTTATAAGGTAGCACAGTTCTTTATTCTATACTTGTCTTGAAGTTAATCCGAATCGTTTATACAGGGTGAGTCAAAATGAATAATATTAATTTTTGTGAAAAAATCACATGCCGCCTATATTATACATCCATTAATTATTCCTATTCAAGCTACTTCAATTTTCTTAACTATTCCCTATACCTAAACTTAGTATTTTTTGAGGTATACACATATTTTTACATAAAACTGAAAATTTACAAACATTACACAAATATCACACAAGATTTGGAAGAAAATATATATTACTTGAACGTGAAAAGTCTACAGAGACGACATGTTAATAGAAAATGTAATGCGGAAATAATTTATTGAATCCCAGATTTAAACAAAAATAAAATTATGACCTGGGCAACCTTGGGAAAACAATTTAAACCCTATTTTAAGCTATGGATAATACTAAAAATGCAATATTAATATTGCTAATAGTTCCAGTTCCCCACTTAAAAACTGAGGACAAATCTGCAAAACAAAAAAAACTTTTTAATTAAGTTTCACTTTATTTATTTGTTAGATCACGAGATCTAGGTGGCCATCTGATCGGACCACTTCTTCCTATCCACCACTGCGGTAATCAATTGTTTAAGTAGTTCCTAACTTGAGGGGTAAGGTGTGCAGGAGCTCGATCATGCAGGGACCACATTCCCGGCCTCATAAAATATAATAAAAATGATTAGTAAAGAGGACCAACAGAAAACGGAAAACAGCTTTACCAATGTTACTGTTACCGCATTCGTAATAAATGTAAGTGTAAGTGAAAAATATTTGGAAGTAAGAAATTTATTAAAACCCACCTAATAGTTGTATTAAGTTTATACGTAGCATTTTTTATTTGTTCCATAGCTTTCTGCTTGTCAGGCACCATAAAAAATCGAGAAAAATATTCTCTACGCATTTTTATAATAAGTTGAACAATTTAAATTAATGTTAAATTTAAAACTCTCGGAGCGATACTTCTTTTATCTAATAGATGGCAGCGCACGGATAAGATTTTTTTACTAACGTTTTCTAAAAAGGTCTTAAGTTAGATCACTTTCCGTCGCACTGCTCTGAAGTCGTTGACAACAAAGTATATGGAGTGGTATGCGAACGAATTAAACGTGACAGTAAAAGAAGCGAAATTGCGATTTTGCCACCGACATTAAACTTACCAAAATTAGTTTCTATGGTTTCTATGGCAATCAGAATCATTTTAATCTGCATTTTTCCATTTCAATTTTTCAAATTTAAATTTTTTAATTCAATAAATTGAAAATGTTGTCATTCTGGCTTTGTCGAGAGCTTCAAATCAAATGTCCCGTCTTAACAGTAATGATATAAGCTGAAATTCTCTACGAGATTAAGGGTAGCGAGGAACAACGCGTGGCGATCTATGATTCACGGACACGTGAACACATCACGCCCATACTTTTTGTGATACGGACGTGGGGCATCTGCCGCAACACAAATATTGGCTATTTATTGATACACAATACCTATCGCCAACTCCATTATCGTGTGTACACAATGATTATCTTGTAATATCTCGACAAATTGCAAATAACCATAAGTTTAATTAAACGATACCACACGTCCTGTTGTAACCGCAAAGCGTTTTACGCAGAGGCGGCGTTGAACCAGCGGCATCGAAAAGTTATCACATCAATTCAAGAGTAAAGGTTACTTTCCCCCATTTCTGAAAGGAGGATTAGTGAACTTATCATTTTCTGGGTTTTCAACGGTTGGCATGAGATGTGATTGGTCTATTTATTAATTTTTGTGCATTAGTTTCGCACGAATCTTGAGAAAATACAAACATATTCTCAAAAAACTGTGAATCAATAGATCAACATACTCACAATGTTAAAATTAGAGTTGTGTCAATCGCGATTGATTCATAGTATCGAACCACCGAATCCCGCTTGTTCGTAACAATTCCATCACCTTGTTCACTTTCGCTGCCGCCCTGACCGGTCTGAAGTGAGCGACCAATTACAGGACGACCGATAGACTGACCGTACCAAAACAAATCGAATTCGCCTTGCGGAATACGGTTCATTTGAATGGTTTAAGATTTAAATGCATGACAGAGACAGATCATGGAAAAGAAATGGGAGTAATTTTATGATTATTGTATAATATTGAGTTGCGATATCGATCGGTAGATTTGCTTATGTGTTAAATTGAATATTGAATGAAATATCTATTTCCACGCAGACATTTAATTTAAACAAATTAAAATAAATAAGAAGCAAAAGTTCAGATTTTTACGAAATCATATATTTTTACATGACAATTGTTTCGACAACACTCGACTCTCAACAGAAAATTACAACAACGAACTTAATATCATTAAACAAATTGCACTGAACAACGGCTACAATCCGTCCATTATACATAAAATCCAGACAACAGTAAACTTTATTTATCCGAAACAATTACACACATAGGAGAACCTAGTGAAAAAATTTCAAAACATTTGTCAAAATGTGGTTTAAAAATAGCTTTCAGAACTAACAACACAATAGGAAAATTTTTAAAAAACAATAAAAGAAAATGTCCAAAATCTCAAAAATCAGGTGTCTACAGGTTGAAATGCGGATCTTGTCCTAAAATTTATATTGGACAAACAGGTAGATCCTTCAAGAAACGCATTAACGAACATAAAAGAGCGTTTAAAAACAATAGTCTAGATTCTAATTATGCTACATACTTAAACACAGAAAAACACATTTTTGGCGACAATTTTGATATATTACATACAGCCACAAAAAGTAGAAAATTAAATTTATTGGAAGCCATGGAGACTAACAAAATGAGACATTCAAATGTATTGCTTAACGATCAATTAGATTTAAATACCTCTCCTTTATTGAAATTAAATTCTCATTCTTATTCTATTGTCATTTTTGGGTATATATAGTAGCAGGTAGTTTATAAATATTACATTTGATAAAGACAGGGTGTTGTCGAAATAATTGTCGTGTAAAAATATATAATTTCGTGAAAATCTGAACTTTTAGTTCTTATTTATTTTGATAAATGGATTTTCAAGTAAAAGCCACCTCAGTTCAATTTTTAAACAAATTAATGTATTACTCGTACAAACCAATGCGTAGCATCTATTTTGATAAAATCATGACGCAATAAAGAGCAGAACACAGTTAAATATTATACTAACTAAAACAGAAAACAGAACGTATAGATAAAAAAATAATTCAAATTCAAATAAATCTGAATCGGTTATTGCCACTTATGGTTTATATCTTGCAGTTGGAAACAAAATGTATTGAAATGAACGATTGATTGAAACGATTCGGTCCTTTTCGAAATAGTCACTGATTGATTCGATTTTCGTAACATGAATGATTGACACAACACTAGTTAATATTGCTACTAGTGCAGGGTAGTTTTATTCTTTGGTGGTCGAGCAAACAAGTCTTGTTGACGAGTCCGGTCCTGCGCAACGCAACAAGAACAGCAAACGCGCAAAACTTTGGAAGCTGGCGGCGTTGGTGGTTTCAGTTTCGGTTTCAGCGCCGGGAAGCGCGACTTAATCTGAAAATCGCTGAAAGGACTCGTCGCACGTGCGTCTAACTTTTGCGCCAAACTTTTCTGTGACGTCTTCTCTAGTTTCCGATTTTATTCGTCGAGGTGGACAGTTTCAAAAAAGTATGCATACAATTTTTATCACTTTTAGCTTGTCCGGAAATGTCGGGTAAAGTTTCTGGCCTGTTTAAGAATTTATGAAAGGATTGCGACAAATATTTTTTGAAATTATTTTTATTTCTATCAATTTCCTTAATTATGAAGGTATTATTTGATAAAATTATTGAGGAACTCGCAACCAACATTAGAGTGCAAAATTCTTTTGTAAAGAAACTGCGAAATTAAATTTATATTAATATTGGCAATATTTTAATATATGCATGTTTCATAATCATATTAGTTGCATTTAAAATATTTGCAAATATTTAAAAAAATTGAAAATACCATGATAAAAAAGTTTTTTGTTCAAAAAAATATTAATAATTTCCTTAATATTATTATTTTTTTCAATCATTCTAAATACTGTCGCAAATTATTCAAAATCAAGTCAATTTAGCAAATTTTTATAAAATTTACTAAGATTTTCATTTGTATACACATTTCTATTGTACTCCATCTGAAATGAGCTAAAATCCTACTAACAGTTCAATAGTGAATTTCTGATCTATTAAAGATTATCTTCACATATCGAAACCTAGCTTTACTTTCTCAGATGATGCTGATTGTCTTGGAGGGAGGCAGTTGAAACAAAAATTTTTAATAATCAAACAATTATTATTTGACAACAATCAATTTAATCGGACGGTCATAATGTTTACTTCTCTTTTTATCATAGATATCCGCGTTTATTTTAGTCGCATTTTATGTTTGTCAGTTAATATTAATTTATAATTACAGTTTTCTATAAAAAATTTAAAATAAAATGCTGCTATTTTAATGAATTTCTTCATATAGTTATTGTAATGAGCAATGCTTTGGCTGATTAAAATGAATTTTTATTAAACTTTTAAGTCTTATTAAATATTGTCGCGACAAGCATAGAATTTGTGTTTCGGTAAAAAATTTAAAATCTTAATTAATTTTACAAATAAGGTGAAATTTTACCCAAAATTTGCAAAATTGATTTGATTTTTGAATAATTTTCGATAGTATTACTATTGAAAAATGTTAGGTATGTGAGGTGGATATTTAAGGCATGAGTTTTAGTTGTAAACAACTTTTTTAATAACATTTTTTTCTGAGTATGACAATGTGTCATATATTTAACACAGGCTTTAATTTTACGTTTTAATCTTAGAGGGTCCACAGTCGGCAGTAGCATATATGATGTAAACATTTACGTTTACGTAAATTTATATTTATAAAATTTTTGAAATTATACTTTCAATTTTAATAACAATAAAAGCAATTGTCGATAAACTTTTTCAATCTTTTTTCTAATTTTTTTTCTCAAACTCCTTATTTGGAAGAAAATTGTTAAAAATTAACGGTTCCTAAAACATTTGCAGGTATATCACACACTTATCTACTTAGAAAACTACTTAAAAATTAAGCTAAAAAATATGAAAATCCAATTTTTTTATCGAAATCTCAGCATATATACCGTCGACCTACACTTCTTCCTCTTATCTTGCCCTGCACGATACTTATTAATGAATGCTTCTCATCCTCATGCTGTGCCCTTCCTAATTACCGAAATTTTCGTGTTTTGATTGTAGTTATTGCTTCACAGTCTTTGTTTATCCCTTAGAGAACCTCAGCGTTTGTTACCTTCTCCATCCAAGATATTCTCAAGTTCTTCCTAGCACATCCTGAAAAAACTTTCGATATTCCGTCGGTAACACCATCTCTCGAAAGCTTCGATGGTCTTTATGTTATTTTGTTTAAGGATCTAAGATTTTAAGCTATATAAGAGGATAAAAAATAACTAACAACGTAGCGTATGAATTCTCAGGGTAATATGTAAATCCAGATTACAAAACAACTTTTTCATATTAAAAGTTGAACGAGCTATTTCTATTTCTTATTTCTTTATTTTGATTAGTGGAAGTAGTTATCCAAGTACCAGGGTATTTATAATAAGGAATTTGCTCCATTATTATTTATTATTTCTATTAGCTAATAGAGTTTATTTTACTTAATATCATTTTTCTTCAAATTAAGTTTAAAAGCTTAGTTGTTGCAATTATGATTCATGCGTTGAATTAGATATTGTAAGTCTACCAGAGTTTCAGTTAACAGTACAGTGTCACTAGTCGCCAGCATATCTTACAGCACTTCTCCATTGATTCGTTATAGTATCGTCAAGAGCTTCTTGGCATATTGCTTCACTTTACAGTTTCAACAACACTGAAGCAAGCACACGCCCTCGTGGACATTAGAGACTTGAAAATATTGATTATACGATGGGGTTGTACTATATCAAATGCCTTATCGAAATCAATGTAACATGTCTAATTTTTTTCAATTATATCTAGGCATCGTTGTGCAATAGAGCTTCACGAGTACCAAATCAAATTTGTGTGTCACTTATTTCTCGTTTCTAGTTTCTTATGGATTTTGATGTGAGTTATCTTCAAAATCAACCTGTGTGACACATCAGAACTATAATGTTCATTGCAACCTTTTGCATTTACTTTCTTTGAAGTTGCCATAAATGTGGACGTAAACCATTAGTTTGGTATTTGGTATTATCTCTCGTTTAAATATTCAGTCCGTCTTCTTAGTTTCTTTGCATATCTGGTATAAGCGTTCTGGTTTGACATTATTTGTTCCCGTTATTTCTTTAAACTTTTTGATTTCGCATTTTATCTGCTTATCTAATATTTTGTACATGTTTGAGTTTTTGGTTTTAAATTTCCTGCTCACTCATAAGTGCTAGTATTTTTTCAGTCATCCAGTGCTTATGCTTTCTTCTTGGGGGTGTTAATGTTTCACCGCTTGTTGATATTATTTATTGTTTTGGGATTTTTTCATTTTTCGTCTATATCAATCATAAGCTATATCAAATTCATAAGCGTGGCCATATTCTTGTGAACACGGTCTTCCAAATAACCACCATCCTCTATTACAGTATTATCTACCTATTTTAGCTAGTTACATTAAAAGAATATATTTTTTTAAAGTTTTCTTATCGACATCAGAACTGTTTAGAGGTTTGATACAGTTGGGAATTTGGTTATAAATTTAAACTTTATTGTAGCTAAAGGATCTCCGAAGAAGAGCCTTGAACACCACACTAAGTTTTGAATAAAGGTAGGGCGGCGATCTATATCAATTGAAATTTTTGGAGGATCTTTATATCCCTATTTATGAAATAACACACAGGATAATATCAAAGTGCCGTCGAGCTTAAGTAGTATTTGTGTAAATAAAATAATTTGAGTTTGCCGCAACATTTCTGCAGAATCACGCCACGATGGTCCGCAAACAGATCGGTATCGATCTAAAGACCCAAATTTTTACTGCAGATGTTAGGACTTCTGAGTTTAACGTTAGTTTAAATCTTTCATCGCCCAAAAATATCCTTACCAAACAGTAGAAGTTCTGTTTTGTCGCATTTAACATAAGACCATGAACCAGTGATGATTCATAAGACATAATCCTTAAATCTGAGTTGATTTTTTGAACCCAGTTGTCTAGATGGATTAACTCGAATGACATATAGTGCTGCGCGATTGACAAATTTTAGAAAAGATGCAAAATCTGAGGTATAAATAAAAAAAATATTTATTGTTACAGATGTGGAGGAACTATTGTTATACAAGCCTCTTTGACGTTTGCTTGATAAAAATTTGGTAAAAAATGATAACGCAGAGCCCACATGCCAAAATGCAGTGCCAAATTATTTGAGTTTCTCAAGCAAAATGAAGTAATTTAGGGTATCGAAAGCTTTGCTGTAATCAAGAGGAATGAGGCATGTATTTAGCTTTTGATCGGAAGCCCGAAATATATCATCGATGATATTTAGCAAAGCGGAGGTAGTGCTTTTGCCCGCCCGAAAATCACAATAGGTCGATGATAAATTGTTGTATTAACCTAGGTATATATTTAATTGGTTAGAGTCTTTCAATTATTTTGCTTATCGGTCTAAAATCACTTTCATCCGCTGCAGAAGGTTCTTTTGACACAGGTATAATGTTGGAGTCTTTCCAAATTTGGTGGATAATCGTAGCGAAATATTTGGTTTACATTTAAATGTCCACAGAACCAAAGCATTAGCATTCCCACAAGCACCCATAAGGGTACACGAACAACATCGGTAAAATACCTAGGAGCTAACATCAACCGTCTGTGTGATCCGAAATAAGAAATACTTGTAAGGATAGAACAAGCCCGAAAAACACTGACGAATATGAAAAAATTATTTACAAGACCACAACTTAGTTTGGAGCTTAGAATTCGGACGGCCAGATATTACACATTTTCCGTTTTGCTCTACGGGTGCGAAAGTTGAACGCTAGACCCACAGATACAAACGCGAATAGGAGAAGCCTTCGAAGGCGAATGCTGCCAATTTCCTGGGCGCAGAGGATTACTAATTACAAAGTTCTCCAACTCATGCAACAACAAAAAGAACTACTGAACATGATTAATTACTGAACATGATTAAGGAAAGAAAAGTGCACCTGGGCATATTATGAGAGGTCACAAATAACAACTCCTGTTTCTTTTTTCTAAGTTACCAAACTTTCTTATTTTAAATTTCAAAATTTAAATTCTTATTTAATTTTCCGATTGTCCTTAATATACTAAGTATTTTTCATGTAACACCCAAATTAAACCAGTTTTGTAGGAATGACAAAACGGAAATAATTAAGGATTTAATCAATAAACTAGAATTTAATTTATGAAAAACAGAATTGACGATTTTAACGAATTAGTAAACTTAAATAACAATAAAATCTATTCAAAAATAAAGGAAAAAGTTACTTAATCTAATAAATGTTCAAACGACGTCCTTTTGTTACTTGACAATGCACTAAGCGATTGGTTTCTGACGAATTGAAATAATTGTGACGGCCGGTTGTGGTAATACATAAATGCAGTATGTGAATTGTTTCATACATTATACCCAAATAGAGTTCAACTTACGAAGTGACCGATTAGATTCAAAATTTACA